AAAATGAAATCCTTGATAACTGTTCTCCCTCTTTCATGAAGTTGCATATTCGTGTCCAGTGGTGAGGGGTTTTTTTCCCTTGATGTTGAGATGTAATCCATATCAAAGTCTTTGATCCTCTTCCATGTGTGCTTTGAGTCTTCTTCACTTACAGCAAGCACGTTATGTCATCTGTAAAACACAGGTTGTTGATAAGCCTTCCACCAATCCTGATGCCACATTCTTCTTCATATAGTTCATCTTCTCAGATTATTTGTTCAGCGTATAGATTGAGTAGGTATGGAGAAAGAACGGATACAATCTTGACCCAATACCTTGCCTTATTTTAAACCATGCAATAGTCTGTTCTATTCAGATAATTTCTTCCTGGTCTATGTATAGGTTTCACATGAGAGCAATTAGATGTTCTGGGATTCCCATTTTTCTCAATGTTAGCCAAAATTTGTTATGTTCCATATAGTCAAATGCCTTTGCATAGTCAATAAAATACAAGTAAATAGCTTTTTGGCATTCTCTGCTTTCACCCAAGATCACCTGATATCAACAGGGATATTCTTCTTCCATTGCCTCTTTTAAATCCAGCTTTCATTTCTAGCAGTTCTATTTTAGCCATTTTTTTTAATTTAGGCAAGATTTTACTTGCCTATGATATTGTTCAATATTTTCACACTGTGTTGGATCACCTTCCCCACCCACCTAATAGAAATAAATGGGAATTTCTTCCAATCAGTTGACCAAGTAGCTGTCTTCCAAATTTCATAACACAGAGACTAGCAGTTATGTCTGGGCTGCATCTCTTTGCTGAAAAACTTTAATATTCCATCAGTTTTGGGAGGAAGACTTCTTTTTTGTCAATGCCTTCAGTGAAGCTTGGACTTCTTCCTTCAGTACCATTGGTTCGTCTTCATATGCTACTTCCTGAAATAGTCCAGTGTTGACCAATTTGTTTTGGTACAGTGGCTGTATGTATTCCTTCCGTCTATCTTGATGCTCCTTGTAACATTCAAGATTTTGCTCCTAGAATCCTTCACTATTGCAACTAGAAGCTTAAGTTTTTTCTTAAGTTCTTTCAATTTGAGAAATGTTGAGCATGTTCTTCCCTTTTGGTTTTTTAACTCCAGCTCTTTGCACATTTCATTACACTATTTTGTCTTCTCAAGCTGTCCTCTGATAGCTTCTGCTCTCTTTCATCAGCATTTCTTCCCTTTATTTTGGCTTTTCTGCACTCTATTACAAGTTTCAGAATCTCTCCTGACATCCTTTTTGGACTTTCCCCCTTGTTTCCTGTTTTTGTAAGGGCCTTTTACTTTCTTCATGTGTGATTTTTTTTTAAATATCATCTCATCTCTTCTCATTTTTGGTCATTACTATTTAATGTATCAAATCTATTTTGTGATGATTTTAAAATTTTGGTGGGATAGAATTAAGGTTGTATTTTGGTTCTCATGGAGTTGTTTTCATTTTCTTCAGCTTCAATTTGAACTTGCACATGAATAATTGATGATCTGTTCCCCAGTCAACATCTGGCCTTGTTTTGACTGCTGATAATAAGCTTCTCCACCTTCTCTTTCCATAGATGTAGTCAGTTTGACTCCTGTGTAGTTTGACAGGTGAGGTCTAGGTGTATAGTCACCTTTTATGTTTTGTTTTCTTTTTAAAAAATATTTGCAATGAATAAATTATTTATTGTACTAATTTCTATCATTTGATCTCCTGCTTCATTTCTGTTACCAAGCCTCTATTTTCTAACAGGTCTTCTTCTTTGTTTCTAACATTTGCATGCCAGTTATCAATTTTTGTTACATGTTTGATCTGTTCAAACTGCAAAATTGGTAAAAGTTCTCCATTTCTTCCACTTTGGCTTTAGTGGTTGGTGTGAATATTTGAATAATAGTTATATTAGGAAGTCTTCCCTGTATGCATATGGATTGTATTCTATCATTCACAGCCTTGTACTTCAGGATAGATATTAACATCTTTTTTCACTGTGAATGGAAAACTGTTCTCCAATTTTTCCTAGCATAGTAAATCACGTGATTGGCCGATTCAGAATGACCATTACCAGTCCATCTTGCTCACTAATACCTAAGATGTGAGTCCGTATGCAATTTTTACAGCTTTCTGTTTTCCTAGATTCATGCTTTGTATAGTCCATGTTCCAGTTATTAAGGGATGTTTGCAGCTCTTTGATTTCATTTTGAGTCTTTCTACTTCAGTAAATGAAGGTCCTTCCTTCGGTGAAAATGTTCCTCCCTCTGTGCCATTGTGGTGGACTCTGCTTTGAAGTTTCAGCTCTTCTCTACTTGCACTTAGAGTGCATGCCACCCTGAGGTTCTCACCTTCTGTTATGACATCCAACAGGGGAACATCCTTACTGACACAGTGTTATTATAAAGCATATTACTTTTCTTCCTCTTTCCTTTTAATTTTCTTTATTAATCTAATTTATCTTGATTTTTAAATTTAAAAGCAAATGAGAAAGACTATATAAAATTTTAAGAAACAATATTAGAAAAAATGAAATTTAAAAATGAGGATAATATAATAAATTCAATGTACTTATACAAAAAATACATAAATGTTAGCATCTGTGCATTTTACTTCTAACATACATATATGTTTAAGGTTATGTATTTTAAATAGAATATTTAAAATAAAAGTATAATCTTGTTTCTTTTCCTCCCTAGTTCTGTTTTTATCCCTCCACGAAGTGTAACATTTACCTGTACTCTTTCAGTGTACATTGTGTATTTTATATATATCTCCACATACATTGCTTGGTGGTTCTTGCATAAGTGTTGTAATTCTATAATTTGGTTTTTTAAAAGGCTATGGCTTTTTTTATTGGTTTGCATGTTGTTGTTGTAATGTGCCATCAAGTCGCTTGTGACTCATAGCGACCCTATGTACAACAGCCCTAAACTCTGCTCTGTCCTGTGCCAATCGCTCTGTCTCCGACACACCCATCCCGATTACCCCAACCACTGAATCAGTCCACCTCATAGGGGGCCTTCCCCTTCTGCGCTGTCCCTCTACCCTATCAAGCATGATGTCCTTCTCCAAGGACCTGTCCCTCCTTACAACATATCCAAAGTATGTCACACGGAGCCTTAGAATCCTTACCTCCAAGGAGCAGCCCAGTTTGACCCTTTCCAGGATTAATCTGTTTGTTTTCCTAGCAGACCATGGTTACCCTCAATACTCTTCTCCAGCACCACAGCTCGAAGTCATCGACTCTCCTTCTATCCTCCTTAGTCATTGTCCAACTCTCTGATGCATAACAAGTGATAGCAAAGACCATGGCTTGTATCAGGTGCACCTTAGTCTCCAAAGAGACACCATTGCTCTTCAGTACTTTGGAGAGGTTCCTAACAGCAGACTTTCCCATGGCAATATGTCTTCTAATTTCCTGGCTGCTGGTGCCGAGAGTGTTGACTGTGGAGCCAAGCAAACTGAAGCTGTGAACAATCTCAATCTCTTCACCATCCATCTTGATGCTGTCAGTTGGCCCAGTGGTGAGAATCTTTGTCTTCTTGTCATTGAGCCTCAATCCGTATTGTAGGCTGCAGTCCTTGACCCTCTGCAGCAAGTGCTTCAGGTCCTCCTCAGTTTCAGCAAGCAGGGTTGTGTCATCTGCATAACACAGACTGTTAATAGATCTTCTACCAATCTTGACCCCACATTTCTCCTCATAGAGCCCAGCCTCCCAGATCATCTGTTCTGCATACAGGTTGAAAAGGTATGGAGATAGGACGCATCCCTGGTGTATGCCCTTAACAATTTTGAACCGTGCTGTGTTCTGACGACTGCCTCCTGGTTCAAGTATAGGTTTCACATTAGAACGATCAAGTGTTCTGGAATTCCCATTCTTCTGAGAGTCAGCCACAGTTTGTTATGATCCACACAGTCAAACGCCTTTGCATAGTCAATGAAACACAGATAGACATTCCTCTGGTATTCTCTGCTTTCAGCTAAGATCCAACTAGCATCAGCTACAATATCCCTAGTACCACGACTCCTTCTAAATCCAGCCTGGAATTCTGGCAGTTCTCTGCTGATGTGCTGTTCCAGTCGTTTTTGGATAATTTTCAGTAGAATCTTGCTTGCATGTGAAATCAATGATATTGTTCTGTAGTTTCCACACTCTGTTGGGTCACCTTTCTTTGGAAAAAATTGTATATGTTTTTTTCATTCTTCTACATTGTGTTTCATTCTTTTTTTAAATTTTTTTTTACTATTTTTTGCATGTGTACTGTCAAATTATATATGACTGGTAGAGGAGGAAGTTGCCCCTCATTCTCCAGCAAAGCATCTAGTGGATTTGAACCCGGTACCTCTGGGATTGCAATGCAGCTTCTTGCCACCAGGCCACCAGAGTTCCCTGTGTTTCAGTCTTATACATTGTGTTTTATACAATATTTCATTTACATTGTTTTATACAATCATTTATATATATTGCATTTTATAAAATTAATTACTACTGATCTATGCCTATTATGCTGAGTGAACTAACTTAGGCTCTTAAGGACAAATACTGCATTAGACCATTACTGTAAAATTAGAAGGGTAAATAGAAAGATGTGCATAAATGTCCAAAAGGGGAAGAAGGAAGGAGGTAGAAAAACTACAGTTTCAAGTTTTCAAATGTATGTTCACATGTATAACTGTAGTTTTTTAACTAGAGTACCCTAATTATTAAAACAAAATGTATCTTCTTGTATTAATACATATTTATAATTTCATTTTCCCCCCACTTTGAAAATAGTTAACCTTCTTTTGGTATATAGTCAATCAGTTAACATATGTTTATGTAACTCTACTCATGTACGTAACCTTTCTCTTAAGAAGTCTACAGTGTAGAAATAAGATGGCATAGGAATTCAACTCTATCAAATGCCTATGACTTTTTCTGGTTAGCTCTTTTTGTTGCAGACATGATTTCAAAAATGTCTATACTTCCAGGACTAATCACTAACTTTTCAATATCTGTATCATTTTAGGTGCTTGTTTAAACTGCCAGGGAAATAGCAAAGGGGATCACTGTGAAGAATGCAAAGAAGGATTTTATCAGAGTCCAGACACCACTAAAGAATGTCTTCGCTGCCCTTGTTCAGCAGTGACGTCTACAGGCAGTTGCACCATAAGTAAGGCCATTCTCTAAATTTGCATTATAGGGAGAGGAAAAGGTGAATAAATTACCAACAAGTATAAGTGGCTTTGATAAACAAAGTTCTAGGTGCTGTAAATGAAACAGTTATAAAAACAGTAAAGGTTTTCCTTGGGATCTAATCCAATTGCATATGTGAAGTAAGAATTAAAATATCTAAAAAAAATCCATGTTGGGCTAACACAGCAACTTTAAGACAAAGAAAATGGGAAATTTCTGATCTAGATAGAAATTGTTCATCTATTTCATGGGTACATTCACTAATTTATCAATGTGAGTTCATGGATTACTAAATAATGTCAATTTTTTTTATAGAGCAATGTTGTTAGTTCATTTATTACTGGTATTTCAGCTATTACTACACAACTAATAATACCAAAGTTTAGTGGCTTACAGAACTAAACATCTATTATCTCTGATAGCATCTATCAAGAATTTGAGAGCAGCTTTACTATTTACTGGTTATACTTGGAGATTTTTCCCTCCTCTCAGCTTTCCTTTATTTTCATCACAACTTTATTGAAATAAAATTCATATACCATAAAATTCACCCATTTAAATTATGCATTTCAGTGGTTTTTAATATTTATATTGGTGTATTTATGCTAAATTTTAGAATAATTTCTAAATCAATTTTGAACACTTTCATCATTTCCACTCAAAAACCCCCACTGTATCCATAAGCAGTCACGTCTTTTTCTCCCACTCCCCTCCTACCTGCCGCTGGGAATGACGAATGTGACAGCATTCTTTCTGAACTTCTCAATCCTGGCACTGTAGTCTATATGATTATCCAATTTAAAATGAGCAATACTAGTCCATTTCAGCTCACGAATGCCTACAACATATATCTTCAAGAATTCTATTTTAGTTTTAACAAAACTTTCCATTTTTTTCTTGATTCATATTTCATACATTCCATATTCCAATTGTTAATGGATGTTTGCATCTGTTTCTTCTCATTTTTGAGTCATGCCACATCAGCAAATGTAGGTAACTGAAAATTTTATCTACATCATGAAGACTGGCTCTTCTTTAAAGAAGCAGCTCTTCTCTAGTAATTTTTTAATGACTTCCGACCAGATGAGCTCATCTCCCAGCAGTAGATCAGACAATGTTCTACTGCTCTCCATAACTTTTCACTGCTCAGGTTTCTTCAGAAGTAGATCACCAGGACTTTCTAACTCTTAGTGTAGAAGCTCCTCAGAAACTTGTCTTTCAAGAGTGATCCTACTGATATGTGAAATACTGGTAACATGGCTTCCAGCACCACAGCATCATACAAACCACCACAGTACAAAAAATTGATAGATGAGTGCTGGCATAGTATTTTTAGTGATATCCTAGTTTTATATATACCAAACTAAAAAGAATATAATCAATATAATATACAAGTCATCCAGTCTCAACAGTGAATTATACTTGACCAATCTTGTTTCATCTCTACTTCCCTACAAATTCTCCCCAAATTAGCTCCCTAGCCTACCGGTTGTGTATTTTCAAAGTGTTTATTTTTTAATACAGATTTTGTAAAATTTATGTGTCACCCTAAAGCTATTGAGAATTGTTACAAAAGCAAAATTATGGATCAGAAAAAGTTTTGGAAAACCTTGAGGGTAGAAGACTACAGCTAGAATGAGCATTTAGTCTGGTTCTTTTCACTTTGGATTTCTAGGAACACAGTAACAGAATTTCTTCATGATTTTCATCTTAGTTGGAGTGAGTATTAAGAATAGAAAGGAGTTCCAGAGTTTTATCTTTTCAATAGTGTAGCACTTATCTATTTGTACATAATGGGTGCTGGTGGTAGTTGTTGTTATGTGCCATTGAGTCACCGGTGACTCATAGTGACCCTATGTACTTTAGCTCTGAACCCTGCCTTTATCCTGAACCACTCTCATCGTCTCCAGCAGACCTAATCCCATTACTCCAATCACTGAGTCAATCCATCTCATCCTGTGTCTTCCTCTCCTGTGCTGTCCCTCCACCCTTCCAAGCATGATGTCCCTCTCAAAGAACTGGTCCCTACTGGCAGTGTACCCAAAATATATGAGATGGAGCCTCAAAATCGTTGCCTCCAGGGAGGAGGTTAGTTTCACCCTCTCCAGGACAGACCTGTTTGTTCTCCTGGCATTCCATGGTATGTTCAACACTCTTCTCCAGAACCACAACTCAAAGGCCTGTTCTATCATCCTTAGTTATTGTCCAGCTCTCTGATGCATAGCAAGTAATTGCAAAGACCATGGCTTGGATCAGGTGCACCTTAGTCTCCAGATTGACATCATCACTCTTCAATACTCTAGAGAATTCCCTGATAGCAGACTTTCCCAATGCAATTAATCTTTTGATTTCTTGAATGCTGGTGCCAAGAGTGTTGATTGTGGAACCAAGCAAGCTGAAGTTATCAACAATCTCAGTCTCTTCTTCTTCCATCATGAAGCTGCCAATTGACCCAGTGGTGAAAATCTTTGTTTTCTTGATGTTGAGCTTCAATCTGTATTGAAGACTAGTCCTTGATCTTCTGCAGCAAATGCCTCATTTGCAAGGTTGTGTCAACTACATAACATAGGTTGTTGCTGGGTCTTCCTCCAATACAAATGCCACATTCCTTATAAAGTCCAGCCTTCCAAATGACCTGTTCTTCATATAGATTGAAAAGGTATGAAGATAGGATGCATCCATGACACACACCTTCCCTGATTCAGAACCATGCAGTGTTTCCCTGCTCTGTTCTGACTACTGCTTCCTGGTCCAAGTATAAGTTTCACATGAGCACAGTTTAGTGTTCTGGGATTCCCATTCTTTTCAAAGTTAGTGACAATTTATTATTATCCATACAACATATTGGCTAATAAGCAAAATTTTATTTGGTCAGGAAGTAGTGTTCTTCGCTTAGAAAAATTGAAAACCACCAAGTTCAGTTGCTTTATGATCATGATCAGACAAATATTAAGTAATAAAATTGGGACTAGAATTAATTTTTCCTGATTCCTAGACTAAAACACCTTCTAATTTAACAATTTGAGTTAAGTAGAAAGGCTAATCACATAGCCTTTATAGCTGGATCATATGGAATTTCTATGTTCAGCTTTTTGAGGAAGCACCAAATTTCCTTCCAGAATGGTTGTACCATTTTACAGTTCCACCAATAATGTATAAGAGTTCCTTTTCTCACCATATCCTCTCCAACATTTGTTATTTGCTGCCCTGTTAAACTTTGCCACTTTTACTGGAGTGAGATGGTACCTCATTGTGGTTTTGATTTGCATCTCTCTTATTGCCAATGCTTTTGAGCATTTCTTTATGTGTCTGTTTGCCATTCGAATATTTTCTTCTGTGAAGATTCTTTCCATGTCTTTTGCCCACTTTATAAGTGAGTTATCAGTCTTTTTCTTTTGAAAGCCTAGGAGTATTCTGTAGACTTTCGTCATAAGACTTTTGTCTGAGATGGTATTACAAAATGTTCGTTCCCAGTCAGTAGGTTTTCTTTTCACCCTGTTGGAAAAAGTTTTTGATGCACGCATGGACTTGTACACCAATGTTCGTAGCACTGTTATTCACCATCGCAAGAACATGGAAACAGCACAGATGTCCAACCACAAACAAGAGGATTGAGAAATTATGGTACATTCACACAATGGAATCCTATGCAGCACACAGGAGCAATGATTTTGTAAATTATTATTTCATTTTGGAGGGACTGGAGAGCACTATGCTGAGTGAACTAAGAACAAATATTGTATAAAACCATTATTGTAGAATGAGTGTAAAGATCCAAGAGGGGGAGGGTTGGGTTGAAGCAGAGGGATGTGCAGGGGAAGGAGGGATTAATCACGGGGTTGTACAATTTGTTGGGTGGAGGCAGTGACGGAAATTGGAAGAATCTGTTCTGGAAAACAATGTATTTGAAGTTTGTAAATAAACCAGTATAATAATAAAAAATAAATACTACTCATATAAAAAATATGTTGTTGTGTGTTAAGTGCCATTGAGTTGTAGGTGACTCATAACGACCCTATGAACAAAAGTCCTCAACACTTGAGTGTGTCTTTCATCCTTTCTCCAGGTTCATAGGGTTTCAGGAGGCAAGCTACTTATGTAAGTGGATGCCAATCCTGCTTCCAAGCTTGTTTCAACCAGGGAGCGCCACCAAACACTGTCCACCATGGGTAACCATTATCACATTTGACACATGAGTGTCAGAGCATTCAGCTTCACAGCGACCACAAGTTACCTCTGTATGACAAGTGGACACACCAGGGCTATACGACCTAGAAGACTTTTTGAACAAAAACAGTGACAAAAACAGGTCTTAAGACCATGGATTAGTATCACACACCTTTGGCTTGGTAGCCTAGCTTTCAGTCCACTAAGCCACCTGGTCTCCCTCTGTGTTGTTAAGTGCCATCGAGTCATAGGTGACTCATAGCGATCCTATGAACGCAAGTCCTTGACACTTGCGTGCGTGACTTTTATCTTTTCTCCAGGTTCATAGGGTTTCCAGAAGCAAGCTATTTACGGAAGTGGATGCCACTCCCGCTTCCAATCTGATAGTAAATAGTAATCTAAAGTCTTTTCTCAGTTGAACAATTTTGAGTATAGCAGGAGTGACATCCACTTCCTGAAGAACATGTCTCTGGTAACTCTGTGAACTTTGATAAAAGTCGATAGTTGTAGAGGGGCTTCAGGCCTTTTGTTCATAGGGTCGCTATGAGTCATGCTCAACTCAAAGGCAATCAACAACAACAATAAAATTACTGAATTATACACTTCACATGGGTGAATTGTATGGTATGTGAAATACATTTCAATGAAACTTCAAAATCATTTGTATGAATAGAATGATAAAAATGTCTAAACTTTTTGAGGACTAATGAATGGTTTGAGGTTTTGGTTTTTTAGTGTTTTTTCATTTTTCATTTTCATTTAGACTGTGGTCAATGACTTTTGGTGTTCTGTCTCTTTTAGAATCGGGTGAATCGGAACCTACATGTATCCAGTGTAAAGTTGGTTACACAGGCCGGAACTGCAATAAGTGTGAAAATGGCTATTACAATTTTGACAGCATCTGTATAATCTGTAAATGTCATGGTCATGTGGACCCAGTTAAAACTCCAAAGATTTGCAAGCCTGAGAGTGGTGAATGCATTAACTGCCTCCATAACACCACTGGGTTTTGGTGTGAGTCCTGCCTAGAAGGTTATGTTCCAGATCCTGCAGGAAATTGCATCAAGAAAGGTAAAACCTAAGGTTGTACATTTAATATCTAAGCCTAGCTCTGAAAATCTGAGGACAGCTATCTTTAGCTTTGTAAAGCCTTCCAAATCTCACCAGAAAAGATTTCTGGAAATAGGTTTGTTTGGTTTTTTTTTCTCTCTCTCTATATATATACCTAAAGATATTTTTTTCTCCCCATTTCTGCTCTCCTGACACCCAGAAGTCAACTCCAGAAATTTGAGGGCCGAGACAAAGTCATTGCAGTGTTCCCACATTTTCTTTTCATCTTTTATTTTTTATGTTAATAATTTAAAAGTCCTATCATTTTTTTATTCTTTGCTTCTTGTATTCTCATCACTTCCAGTGATCATCAAAGGTCTTTCCATGTAGGGACCTATATATAATCTGATTAGAAGTTCCAACTGAAAAACTAGAGGTCATTTTAGCATCTGTCCTAATTTGATACCTATTTCCTCATGCATGGTAGAATAAAATAATACTATTCATTTGTAAACCTAAGTATTTAAAAAACTGTTTTATTTTAGTTTTTAATAGAAAGGTACTCACAGTTTATTAGGTCACAAAAAGATTGGTCTATACTCTTTTCCATACTAAACTTTTATATTCTAATAGATACTGACTGAATGCTAGGAGGAATAGATATTCTTTTATTGAGTGCTTACTATGTACTAGGGAGCTCAGGTAGCCTAGTGGGTCTGGAGTTACGCTGCCAAGTCAAAGGCAAGTGGTTCAAATCCACTAGCAGCTCCACAAGAGAAAGATAGGCAGTCTCTTCCCTTGTGATGTACAGCTTCTGAGAACTCACTGGAGGATCAGCTATAAATTGGTTCTGACACAGCAGCAATGACCAACAATACACTAAATCTTAGGCAATGTAAGCATTAAATATGATGTCTGTATAGTACATGATTTAATTTAATTCTTCCTAAAACCTCTGAAAAGTAGATATTCTCCTTTCACAGATGAAAAATATCAAGTTTAAAAGTATTTATCTATCCACCAACTTCTCTGGAGGAGGATAGACAATCTCCTCCCATGCAATTAACTGCCCCTGAAAACCCACTGGTGGATCAGCTATGGGTCAATTCTGACTCAATGGTACTCAACAACAACAAAATAGCTATAGTATTCTATTTTATTCAAAAGCCTTTGATCTTTGCACTAAGCTGTACAGCCATTAGGGAGACAAAGTATAGTCCCTCAATTATAAAATGGCTAAAATCTACACAATGGAAGAATTACACATATGATCAAAGCAGAGCTGTTTTCACATTGCTGATATCAATTAAGACATTTGAATTGTGGTTTTCAGGTATAAAAGGAAAGAGTTTTTTCTTTTCTTTTTTTTTTAACCTCCTTTGAGGGGAATTTTACCCTTGTGAAATGCTATCAGACATAGTTCAAATTATTGCTTTCTACCTTTGTCACTTTTAACAAAGTTATTTAGAACTCAGTAATGTCATATTTGTGGGAGAAGGATTGGCAATCTCCTCCTATGAGATTTACTGCCTCTGAAAACCCACTGGAGGGTCAGCTATGGGTTGTTTTTGACTCAACAGCAAACAACAACAGTATCATATATGCTATCTTTTCAGGAATTTTTACTAACTATCCAAGAGTTAAGAAAGATAGAAACCATAATATTGGATTCCTGAATATTTTAATATAAAAATTATACATGTTATAGAATAGCCATGAATATACTAGCCTAGCTTTTAGGCTTTGATTCTTTGCCATATATTTCTTTTTTAAAAATGCCTTTATCTTTTAGTATCTCTCAGAAGAGTATCATATCAACATCCCCATCAGTTTCCACGCCCATGTGTATTTTTTTATTGTTTCTCAAAACGAAATAGTTTTGTCTTTTACATTTCATTCTCTGTTTTTTATTTTCAGAAGTTATTGTTACAACACCTGAAGGTTCTACCATTTTGGTTTCCAATGCCTCTTTGACCACATCAGTGCCCACCCCTATTATAAATAGTACATTTACCCCCACAACCCTGCAGACTATCATTTCAGTAAGCTCTTCTGAAAACAGTACTTCAGCTTTGGCTGATGTATCGTGGACCCAATTTAACATCATCATTTTGACAGTCATCATCATTGTGGTGGTGCTGCTGATGGGATTTGTGGGGGCTGTGTATATGTACCGGGAGTACCAAAACCGGAAACTGAATGCCCCGTTTTGGACCATCGAGCTGAAAGAAGATAATATCAGCTTCAGCAGCTACCATGACAGCATTCCTAATGCAGATGTGTCAGGATTATTGGAAGATGATGGCAATGAAGTGGCCCCCAATGGACAGCTGACCCTGACAACGCCCATGCATAACTACAAAGCCTGAGAGTTAGAACTGTTCCTGGATCGTTAACCACAGTGCACGCTGAGAGTGTCAGCCGTTAGGCAGTACAAAGCCTGGACAGAGTTTGCTGAGGAAGCAGAGGCAAATGGCGCGTCTGGAATTTTCAGGTGCAAATTTGTAATACACTTAGCTATCTTTCCTAGTTTTCCCGTGAAGATCTGAAGCATTCACTGTGGTTAAGGACTTGAAGTAAAAATATATTTTTGTATGAAACCACAAGGGTATATAGTAAGCAGAACACAGTGTGCAGCCCAGATTCACTTTGACCTCCAAATAGCCTCTTGGGGGAAAGTGTTCACCTAACCGCCTAAAGCAGGATGATGGCTGGGCAGAGGGAAAAGACTGCTGGAAGACCTTAGACTTTGGCTCCATTCCTGAAACACATTTTTTTTAAAAAAAAAAAAGAAGGTTGGGGATGGTATCCATTTTTCTGTATTAAAAGGTGTAATTTAGAAAAAGCTTATTTCCAGACTGTATCATGAAAAGCAATCTTGATTGTTTCTAGAATAGGGACAGAAAAGTCCCAAGAAGATCTTTCGAAGGGCTTGGTTATTCCTTCCAGGATTCTTGCCCAGTGGTGGGATTAAAGCACAGGATAAGCTTCTACTGGTACAGAGAATGAAGGCAGCACTCAGGAGCAGGAAGCTGGTGGTCCTCCTCAGGGTCTCAGTGTAAATGATCAGTCGACTAAAAACAAGGAGTATTCCTGTCTCTAGAGAAATAAGGTGTACATAGTTAATGTAGCATATTTGGTTAACATTTGTATCTATTTGTAAAAAAAATCATGTCATATTTTATCTAGAATTTATTTGTACAGCAGTTAATGGCATTGTAAAAAAGAAAATACTAGGGTCTAATTGGTTAAAATATTGTAAAATAGATGGCAATATTGCTAGAGCTGGGACTCTGGTGACCATCAGTCATTTTAGTTCCTCTTTGGACATTGTTGAAATTTGTAAGAGGTTGAATGTTTCTAATCTTTCTTTTCCTTTTCCAATTAAAAAATAGAGTTATATGCCCTTTCATTTACAAAGACTCAAAGAATATCTTTTTAAGTCAACATTTTTAAGCTGGCCATAGTCCAAAAACTACTCACCCATTTAGACACTAGCCACTCTGTATATGGTTTTTCCTTCACACACATAAATAGAAACATGTCTTCATTTTTAATTTTTTTTTCCTAAAGACAAAAATGTCTTCCAAAGGAATTAGAACTGTTTTTGTTCCAAAAGGGAAAAAAAAACCCTGTCCTATGAGTTCTAGTTTTCATTACTGTGAAATATTTGTATTCTTGTTCGTTGCCCCCACTTCCGCCTGCACTCCCACTAACTAAGCCTTCCTCTAGTTCAACACAGCCTGTTACTCCTTTGCTGCGAGGTGTGCACTGTCTCTCAGAGGTGCTCCAGTTCTCTCATCTTGTCTTATTAGAGGGTAGCTCTGCAGTTGAGTATGTAGCTAGTTTTTTATTTTAGATGCCATTTCCCCACCCCCAGAGCCTGTGTACTGTTATTCTCATCTATTACTATATTGACCGACTGTGGATTAAGTGAGCCAGAAGAGGTAGGCAGAGGTCAAAGACAGATATGCTTAGGAAGAGAATCGAACTGTGCAGTGGTTATACAAAAGTGAAGATTTCTTATTAGATTAAACCCTATCCTTCCATAAGTGATTCCTACCTAAATTGTTCTCAGGGTTTAGAGATGATCTTCTGGAAGAGGTGCAAGCAGGAATTAGAACTACTTCCTCATCACCCGTGGTACTGCACATATTTGATCATTGCTCACAAGAATGCATATTTCTCTGTTATATTACCTTAAAATTATTTAACATTTCTATAACCCTTTCCAATATGAAAAGTCTTTTTCTAGTATTTTAAGTATGTAATTTGTTCCTCACCATAGTCCCCTGAGGAAGTGACTATTCTCATTTTATATATAAGGAGACTGATGCTCAGTGGAGTTAAGTATCTTACTCAGATTTACACAGTACATGCTATTAATAAGTTTACAACAGTGAAGCTTTATCTCACATACTTCAGGCATGTTTCTAAGAGAGACTATATCTTGGAAAGGGTTATTATGCTTGGAAAGGTGAGGAAGATCCTCAATGAAATGGATTGACACAATTAATGCAGCAATGGGCGCAACTGTGTCAGAGATGATGAGGATGGCACAGGATAGGACACGATTCAGTTCTATTGTTCATAGGGTCATTATGAGTCATACTTAACTCGATGGCATATACAACAACAGCTCTAAAATACATACTTTTTCTCTAATGCAGAAGTTTCCCTTTCATGGGATGAAAAGGCTGATAAGGAAGAGTAACACCTGTGACTGCTCCTATAGTTTTTAAGTACAAGGTACAGCCCAGGGCTGTGCAGCTTAAAGGATAGGATGCTTGCTATCTGGACTAATATTCTAGATAAAAATATCCTGCCAGTTTATATTTCACTGAAAGGAGCTTATCTTTCCTAACAAGATGGAAAAGTCTGCTCTTCTCAATGACTGCTACATATGTTTGTACAGACTGGGCACTGCACAATTACACAGATGGGCCTCACTCCCAGATGTCCTATTGTTGCTCTTCAGTACAGCCAGTTCCTACTCAGAGCAACCTCATGTAATAGAGCAGAATTACCACATAGGATTTTCTAGGCCAGAATCTTTACAGGAGCAGATCATCAGGTCTTTCTCTCTCTGGGGAGGTTTGAGCTGCCAACCTTTAGTCTGCAGCCAAGTGCTTAACCTTTGCATGAGCAGATTTCTTACAGATGTTTTTGTGTACATGTCCTGTCTCAGAGTGACCAACAGAATGAAATAGCTCCTGCATTAGTCACTATATCTGTTGTGCTTATGCCCATTGTTGCTGTCATTGTGTTGTTCTGTCTTGTTGGGGGTTTTCCTCTCTTTCACTGATCCTCTACTTTGCCTAGGATGATGTCCTTTTCTAGGGACTGCCCTCTTCCTGACAACATGCCCAAAATATGTTAGACAAGGTCTTATTATCCTTGCTTCTAAGAAACACCCTCCACTTTCTAAACAATATGACTCTGGAAATTCTATGAACTTTGAGAAATGACAATAGTTATAGAAAAGCTTCAGGTCTTTTGTTCATAAAATCACTATGAGTCATGCTCGACTTAACAACAATAAACAACAACAAGGAACACTCTAGTACTTCTTCCAAAACAGATTTGTTTATTTTTTTGACAGGAATAGGATATTCAATATTCTTTGCCATTTCCATCATTCAAACACATCACTTTTTCAATCTTCCTTATGTATATAGTTCAACTTTCATATGCATGTGAACTAACTGAAAATATCATTGCTTGAGCCAGGTGCACCTTAGTCTTTAAAGTAGCAGTCTTAATCTTTACCACTTTAGAGAACTCCTGGGCAGCAAATTTACACAATGCAATAGATGTTTGATTCTGGGTTAGAGGCTGGAGACTGTGAAAAAGAAATGTTTGTCAAACAGAAGTTAACCCAGACAAGAATGAAGAAATGTTGATACTAGCGCCAAATCAAGAGTCAAGATTTTATCTATGTAGCCATTCCTTGAAAAAGATACTACAAAAATCTAACCAGAAAAATATGTCTAAATACTATTAACATCTCTTGGGTGGGTCATGTTCTTAATTTCTCTCAATGGAAAAAATAAGATCTCACCCTTTTAAAAATATGCTTTAGTATCTCTACATTTTAGCATATGGAAGTAACTTTGTTTTCAAATATAAATTCTGAATAGTAAAGACTGAGAATATAGTATGGTATACACTGCACAAAACCCATCCCACTCACAGTATGATTCTTGTGAGCAATGACATTCAGCAGCAGGACCCCGTAAGTCCTTCAGAAAGGCTGATACAGAAATAATTTTTCCAAGGTTTAGAATCATGTTTATTTTTAAATAAGGTTAATCTTATTGAGAGTTGGCAAATACTGACTTATATTAAGGCAAACTTTTGTTTTTAATTCATTTTACAAAGCCTATATACATTTCTGATCATTAGTGTCGTAGATAGTGTTAAGTATGTCTTTGTCCTCTTTGACTTTCCTCTCTCTTCCTCTACCCTCTAGCAACTAGAGCTCTCTTATTAATGGGATTCCTCCAGGTATAGGAAAAAATGATAATAAAAGCTATATTTCATATATACTGAAGTCCTTGGGCTTGTGTTAATCTTCCTAGGACTGCTTGGATTTTAAGAGAGGAACACAGAACAGTTATGGAATTGGAGGAAAGAGGCATTTTGGAGAGAATTTGTAAAAGCAGCAAATTTAATTTCTACCTTCAACTCTAGCTTAAATGTTCCCAGGAAAATTGACCATTAGACAACACTCAGTGACCCCAGTTGGTTCTGTTTGGTGAACTGAGTGCCTTGACGATATTTAGCCCTTTTTGTGGTGGTTTAGAGGCAGAGAGTTAAAAGCACCAGTACTTCCTCTTGACAACTTCATCTGGAACTAGGTTATTAGGTCATCCATGTGGGCCCTATACAGACAGCACACATGGTGAATGTAACACCACTTATATTGAACATCCTGTGCTTCTTGTGTTTAGGTAAGTATTTAGGTAGGAGTTGAATTTATCATCTCCAGGAAAGCTTTCTGGCTAAAAGCTCAGAAGGGGAGAGGGGCAGAAATTAAAGCAATCCATAGTAAATAGAGCAAAGGAAGCATTTCTGGTCTCAGCCACAAAGGACCTTTAGTTTGTTATGCTCTTTGTAGTAAGGAACAATGGAGCTGAAATTAATTCAGTGTGTGCAGGGAGTAATGGAATTAATGCCAATTTCTCTTTAACCTTGTGTCTGTGTCTATGCCACAGGGGGAAGAGCAATAGAATAGCAATAGTGACTCATCTGAAAAAACAAACAAAAAAAAACCCCAAACAAACCCAATATCAAATGGACTAAAGGTTGTATATCATTAAAATGATGTTTTTCAAAGCAATCAGAAGACCTTCTTACATGTTACTTA